TGGTATCAGTTAATATTCATGTAATTAAATAATTACATGAAATCTTGCATATATATATATGGCACATTATTTATTCCTCTGATCCCCTAATATTTTATTATGTGCAGAGACTGGTACTGGTACTGGCTCTAAAAGTAAAGTCAAATTAAAGTTTTGTGCCCAGCCTATGCATCAAATTTATGTAATAAAATATTGTATCCTTCTTAAACTATTTATCAGAATAAGAATGAGTTACCAGGTACAAGTATGGGTTTTCACAGTGATAGTTTCCGGGTTTGTAAAAAGTCACTGCCTACTAAAATCCTCAGTTCCTTTGCCGTGACAGCCTAACTTTATCAAAATATTGGCAACAGGAGAGATTAGCAAATTAATGGTACAGACAAGATAGCCTATTCCCACATACACCCTCCATCCTGTTAGCTTATTATGGGCATGGCATTTCAAACATGGTGCATATGCCACAAATTTTCCATTTCCCTTACTAATTATGGGTTGAAATATAATACAGAGACTTGCCAGTAGATGGTCACATGAAAACTTTTTAAATATTAATAACATTTATTTTTGTGTTTCATGTTAACATGTTAATACCACAACATGTTACAACCACTCCACCTTCCAGTAAATTCAATTATTTGCAAACATGGGTATACCATCTTAAAAGTTTTCAACTTATTTAATATAGCCAATAACAACATCAACTCAACTTTTAGACTAAAGAGGAAACTTGATTATGTTTGGAATTAATTTCTCTTACAAATGTCTTCATAGTTGAATTTAAAGTCTCTCTTTGTCATCAAGTTAAATTAATTATGATATTCTAGTTCTAGGTTATCTCCTTTTACATCAAACTTTCGCAGCACAAGAAACATGGTAGGCAAATTTTGTACATCAGTAGCTAGAGTTGCTAAGATCATGGACAGTTGGTATGTAGACACCTACTTCATATGTAGCTACAGCAGAGGTTAAATGAATATAGTTTTTATTATAATGAAAGGCTGGAAAAGAAACTAACAAGAAATCCGTTTTTAGGCTTGTATGGCTAACTCTATGTATTACATCCTAACTGATGTAACTGTTCCAGCGACCTTGATCTCACGCTTGATCAGTAACGCATTACGATCAATAACTCAAATAAATACAGTAGTTAATAATGGATTACGATTCCTTTGGCTGAGTGAATTGACATGGGCAGTAATAATTCCCCAGCGATCGTCATAATTTATCTCTGTTATACCAAGCTCATTGTTCTTCAAAAAGAACGACTCATGTTGGAGAAGTAGCTTGTACGATCTAGAAATAATTTTATTCAATTCTAAAAGATTTCAAGAGAGTCGTAATTAAAGTTAGGACAGTCTGCCGTTTTCGCTAATGTTTTCAAAGAATCATTATGGGCTTAATGAAGTGTGGTTGCGCGTAAATCTCGCCTTCAGTTCGCTTACAATACTTTTAGTTCAAAAACGATTCTCCAAAGAGAACTGTAATCAAAGAAATTGCAGAAAATAAGCCTGCCAAAAAAATTCAGCCATCGACGTGAGGATTACTGTGCCTCCCGGCGCAACAATCTGATTTACGTTACCTCAAGTTGCGAAATGTCTTCGAAAGTTTACGTAAATTAAAGTGTTCTGAAGTGTTTTAGTCGGCAAAGGTGAACCCCCACTTTACACAACGAGAACAAGACATACCTTGGAGATGACGAATTTATCTTTAATGGTACAAGGTTGCCATATTTCCTCGTCTCACTAACTGCTGGAAAATAGTACGCGCAGATCTCGTATCCATGCACAGGGATACATTCACGCGCGCGCGAAACACAGCTGATTGCCGCTAGAGTCTGCCATTCTCGATGTAAATTTCTAAAGTATCCGACCTTGCATGCTGGAGAACTGCTGATTATCTTCGTAAAGGAGGTATATCTAAGTCTGCGTCTCATGTGAATTAATTGCCTAACTGTTATTACCATAAACGGCCAATCATGAGACATGTAAGATTCGACTTGGAATAAAAAAACAAACATGACAGCAAAAAAATAAATTATGAAAAGAGAACAAAACGCTCTTTGTTAAAAAATTATTCTTAGCTTAAGAGCCATTTTGTTAGATAAGTATTTCGAAAATTATCAATGATTGAAACTTATAAAACATTGATGGGTTGAACTTTAACTTTTTCCTGGAAAGCAATATAAAAATAAACATTTTTCTCGGAGGACACGCTCCTGTCATGTGATTGGAAATGTAAAGTAGGTTCTCATTGGTCAAAATAAATCTCGTAACCAGATCCTTTCGGATCGAACGTAAACATGGTTCACAACGTAGGCGTACTTTCGATTTCAAATTGGTCATTGTTCCTTATTATTGCTTCGTAAGCGCTTGAAGCAGGGGGACATTTTGAAGCTGTGATGAAAGAAAGGGAAACAAGAAGTATCAAACAGAATATTTCTTTAAAGAGTCATTTTTTTGGCGACGGAGATCGGAAGTTTTGGTCAAATACCGCACAGTACGAAATGCACATCCGCGAATATGTTCGTCTAAAGGAAATTTGACTTAAATGATATTGGACATTTGAGGAAGTAATATCGAAAAAACTCTCTACTCTACAGGATTTTTAACGCGTTTGAAATGGAGGAAAGTTGCATCGAACGACAAGAAGAGGAGCTTCAAGCTCTTCAAGCTATTTACATGGACGACTTCCAAGATTTGAGAGAAGAGGTAATTCATATCTTAAACGATTAATTTAATTGAGTTGGGAGGAAGTCTGGAGAACTTGCCAGAAGCGTTAGGGAGCTGTTTACGATCTTGTCTATAATCATACCTATGAACCACATGGTAGTTCAGGTTAAATATTTTAAAAAACATAGGAATTCGCCTGGAACATAGATCAAACTGTGTCAACTTCCTTCATGAATAGAAGAGCTATCAAGACACCTTAGAGGGGATTTCAAGACACCTTCATTAGGGAATTAAATGCAGTGTGTCACACTTTCAGTGTGTGTAAGGCCATCACAATAGTCTTAAAGACTAGTATTTTCAAAATGCCCCATTTTAAAACACTATATGTGGAGGTAATGAAGCTCAGACCTCATTTCCTCTTCAAATGTGCTGACAAATCAATTGTGGTTGCCGCTATTTTCAATCTTGCTAAGCGGCCCGGCTGTACGTCTCCATCATGCTTCATCTCTCAGGCTCACCTCTATTTTTCCTGCTTCTTGGCAATCTCTTAAGGCTAGTGAGAGTTACACAAAAAAAGCATTTGACAGAAATAATGAGGTTATTATTATTATTATTATTACTACAGTCGAACCTCGATTATCCGGACATCGATTATCCGGACTTTTCGATTATCCGGACTTTTTCTCTGATCCCGTTTTTTTCATGAATATTAATGACCTTAGATGTTAAAAACTTTAGGAGGTAAAAAAAATTCAGAAATTATGTTAAAAGTCAGGAAAATTGTGTTTAAAACAGTGCATTACACACTCTGCTTTCGAAAGATCGAGTGCTCGGAGACAAAAAGAGACAAGAAGCATTCTAATGTGTTCAGCTGAATTTTGATTGGTTCAGCATTGTTTTGTTACTAAGGGAATGTCATGCTTGATCAGTTTGATGAGTGTGGGTTATGTAAACACACGAGACGATTATAACTCAATTGTCTCATTAATATTCATATTTTTGATTATCGGGACTCTCGATTATCCAGACTATTTACCCTAGTCCCACCAAGTCTGGATAATCGAGGTTCAACTGTATTATTATTTGCAATAACCAGGGCAAAATATATTTGTGTACTGCATGTTGTGGTTTTTTCATATTCGTTGTGCAACCATAACAGTAATAGCAATTAACTTATTTTTGGAGCATTTTTTTAACTCTTTAATCCCAGAGGGTTTTTAAACTGACACATAATTTCTCTCTAGGTATCACTGCTAAAGCAAATATTAGTCTCATGAGAATTAATTCTCCTCCTCTGAACAGTATGGAGAATATACATGCTAATCTAAGGGTGTAAAGGATTAAGTCACCTAGTGTGAAAAACCTTAATTTGCTTGTTATTCTAAAATTGAAGGAAAAGCACAATTCTTTATTTTATTTTTAAAAAAATTTTTTTTAAAAGTTAAGTGTTCCTTATCATGTAGCTTGAATAACCTAGAGAAATTTATGCCAAGAGAGTTCAAATGATAAATGAGAATGAAAATACTAGAACTCTAGAACAAGGTTTATTAGACACTTCAATTCAAGAGAATGCATTGGGCAAAAGAAAAGTTGAGTTCTCTGGCAACTGGTTTAAATTTTCTGGCTAAGTTGCAATAGCTTGCACTCTTTTTTGTTCAACTGGGAAGCTGATATTCAATATGTCTTCCCCTTTAACGAAAACCGTGCATTAACTAACAAAGTGTTTGTCTTCCTATAAAGCCTGATGAACCTCCAAAGGTTTGTTTAAAGTTGACTCCATTGCAAAGTGTTGTGGCCAAGGAGGTCTATGCCAGAGTTGATTTGATCATACAGTATACAGCAGACTATCCTAATCGGCAAGTATACAGACTCCTTTTAATTTTTTTATAATTGTAAGTAGATAAAGGGCAAGAACAAAGCATTTAAAATATGAAATGTAGGGATCACTAAGTTTTTAGTGAAAAGGTACCCATTGAAGGCGGGGAAGGCAGTAAAGGTAACATACCGGTAGTGCTGATTCTTGTATCATGATAGATTGCTCTGTGTCATTTTTAGGAGTCCAAAGCTGTCTATGTGCAATGCTGAAGGTATTTCAGAGGAAGATGTTAATAAGCTTCAAACTGAGCTTTGCAAAATGGCTGCTGATCTTGTTGGTGAGGTGAGCTATACATGTACTGCACTCGTATGTTTAACATACTCAGTGCCTCACAGTTTCTTCATTGTTGTAGATCAAATGTATGCTAGGTGGAAGTTATTACCCATACTTGTTAAATTGTTGTGAAAACAAGGAAGTGAAGGGTTCTCTGACTAGAGGTGAAAATTACTATATTTATGCATAAAAATAAATTAAAACAGTTTTAGCATAGATATATGCAAAATTTTTTAGTGAAGTCTGCAAGTACAATTTTTCAAAATGTTGCCTTTTGGAATAATTTTGGTCACTTCCCCTCTTCCCCTCATCCCCTTTCTCCCCCCCCCCCCTCCCTCCAAAAAAAAAAAAAAAAAAAAGAAAGAAAGAAAAAAGAGAAAGAAAAGTGAAAAAGACAAAACCCTGATATCCATGGGAAGACATTTCATGTTCAAATACATGAATTAGGAAGTGAGCCAAACAGTGTGATTGTAATTCTTACATTTACCAGCGTGGTATGTTTACTCCCCTGCCAATTAAAATGGTAGAGAAAGAGAGAGAATAAAGTAACTCTGATGTCTGGAAGCAGAAATGATTCACTACAAAGTCGCTTAGACTGAGTGACAAATTGTGTTCAATGAAATATTAGTCCATTGCTCAGCTCAGAAACATCTTGCATTTGAACTGAGCAGAAATATTGGTATTAAAACCTTCCATATAGTAAATAACATCTTGAATCACTTGATATCTAGTCACCACATTTCTAATACTGCAAAGTTGAACATTAGACTTAAATGTTAAACATTAAATGTGAAATGGATTTTATTTTAAAAAAATCAGTTCAACTTGGTCACTGCTCATTTTAGAATTGTGCATATTTGGGAGCTACAGAAAATTTTCAGTTTCCATTGGTTCATTTGATAATTCGACCTAGGATTGATAAAATTTTCATCATCTTCTTTTCATATATTTTTGTTCAAATCGGTTGGTCACCGATTGGCGATTTTTGGTGAAAGTTTAGTCACCAAATATATTTTTCATTTGCCATGGTGACCAAAACAGTTGCAATTTTGAGCACTGCTGTCACATACTATAACTACAGTTGTATCTTTTTAAGTCTTTCTTGAATTAGTCATGAACTGGAAATCACACATTCATCATTAAGTTAGCAAATTTTTTATGCTACTGTAGCCCTTCAACTCCTAGAAGGGATCCACCTGTAACTTCCCCCTATGGTATCTGTATGTTATCCAGCAAACAGGAAATGAGAATACTAAAACTTATAGTTATCCTGATCTAACACCAAATTCTTTTAACTTACTTGCATGTAGAAGGAAATGTGTAGCAGCTAGAGGGGAGAATTTACAATCAGATACATATATGTACTATAGGAGTTGAAGGGGCTTATGGAAAGTAATTCACAATTGCAATAGTTTTGCTCAAGATGGTCAGTTGCATTTTTGCATCTTTCAGATTATTTTTTTTTCGTGGTCTTTTTATGTATACTTATTAAGTTTCCACAATTTGACTCTTAGTGGTCAGTTTTTTTTCTTTTTTGCATTCTGTTTGGCTTCTTTCCATTTACTTTGGTGTACATTGTTCAGTGGAAATTAATTTGAATTTCAGTGCCAATGGCATTGGGTGAAGTTCAATATATTTATTATGTGAAATTTTCTTACTTAAATTTCACATACTGCCTCACAGGTTATGGTTCTGCAATTAGCACACCATGTTCAAACATGTCTTCATCAACACAACAAACCACAGTTATCATTTTATGATAAAATGATGGCTGACAAGCGTAAAGAGGAGGAGAGACTCCAAGCTGTTGAGCGTCAAAGACTGCAGATGGAAATTGAAGCTAACAAAGAACGGGAAGAAAATGAGGTTAAAAAAAACATTCAGTTTTTCTCCAAAACCTAAACTTTTTATCAGCTAAAGATTATTTTGCATTTGTGATAGGATTTATATGTATTATTAGTTTTTGGCATATGTGCAATTCTTTACAATAAGGGTGTACAAACATAACAACTGGAAGGTTCTATAACTTTTTCACTTCCAACATCTCAGTAGTAATTGTCCTCACTGTGTGTCACAAAATTTTTACGTTGTTAGGTCTTATGATGCTGTATGATTTTTATGATATTAGGATTTTGTCAGATTGGATCAACCATTCATACCCTAATCTGTATTTGATTTATTCTCATCACTCATCTTCTGGCTTTTGTATTGATATTGTAAGGAGAAATTCTTTCTTGGTCACTCATGGGAGTTCAAGGGTGAAGAAGCTTGGAAGAAATGAGGAGGTGAATTTTCATCAACTCAAGTGTTTCAGCAAATGATTTTCTATTATATTGATATTTATTTTAGAAACGTGAAGTAGAAGAAGAACTACAGAGGAGAGATGAAGCTATGAAAGAAAGCAAAAGACGGAGAACTATTGTTATTCAAGTAAGGATTCTGTTATTAAGTTAACTTTATTTTAGAGCGATTTTCTATTGAGTTTTATAAAACCAAGAAAAAAACGCAACGGGCAATCAAGAGAATGGGAAATACCCTAAAAAGTCTTTGAGAACTCAGAGTAAAAATAAGTAAACCGTCTAAAGCGCGGGAAAAAGCGGGCGACCAAGTCGTGTTTGATGTCAGTTTTGCATCTGATTGGTTGAGAGAGTGACGCGAGTTTTCTGGACCAATCACAGAGCAAAGTAAAGTAAATTAGATGCAATCCCGGATTACTTTGGACACTCAATTAAAAATTTCTCCTCTTGGCTCGAAACTATGTCTGCTCTACTCAATCTCTAGGAAAAGAACACCAAGGCAGATCCAGCGGCTCAGAGTACAAAGACAAAAGATCCTGGCACCAGTCCAACAAAGGAAGTGCCAGTTCAGAGAAAGCAATCTGGGAATACCACGGCACTTACACAAGCTTTCCCGTCGCCCAAGAAAACAGAGGAAAGGCCTTCTGGCTACAATATCATGAGACGAAGGCGGAGCTCTGAAAGTGTGGGTGATGAATCCTTCACAGGGACACGAGTGATCCACTTCACCAGCAGAGGGGGACATATCGTGCATTGTGGAAAATGCCTTGGTAAATATTGCTTGTATGTCCCTATATATTAAGTGGAGGGCCAGATGGGAAACTACAGTATTTGGCTCGAATTCATGACGTGTGGACCGAGGGAAATGACTCGTGTGCGTCATGACTGAGAGGCAAATATTTCTCTCTCTTGAACGACGTAAGTCTGCACTGGAGCGAAGTGGCCTATCCAGCCGTAGCGTATGCCGGTTTCTATCGCACGAAGCGGTTAGGAGTATCAGTACTCCTCCCCTGGATGGGATACTAGTCCACCCCCAGCATTTCATCAGGCTTCCCTCAAAATTCGCCCCTATCCATTTATACTCCTGGGGGAAGAGAGGCCTGGTGAGAGTCAAGTGTTTGGCCCAAGAACACAACTTAATGACAGTCTCGAACCAGGACCTCTCGACCTGGAGTTGAGCGCACTATTAACCGTGTATCCCATATGGCAACTAAATTTTACAACTTTTGTAATAATGAAAATGATAAAATTACGCGCGTCTGATTGGCTTGAAACGAGTGCATTCTCATGTAACACGAATGCAAAGTTGTCACGCGAGTGCCCTATCAAAATTTGTCTGTCTTCATTTTCAGTTAGGGTTTCTCCTATACATCATTAAAAAGCAACAACATGATTTCTCGTGTAGTTTGGTGTAATGAGCACTTGTAGTTATTTTCAAATACTAAAAATTGCACTTGCCTTATGGGCTCGTGCAGTTTAGTTTCTTTGAAAAATTTACTCGTGCTTATCAACACCTCGTTGCACTCAAAATCATGTTGTTACCTACACAAATTATGCTTCAATCTTCATGGGACGCCATAAACACCAGTATGACGGGCGCGGGCGCGACAACTACGGAAAGACATTTTAAAAACGGAAAGACATTTTAAAAAAAAAGTTCTTGGCTAGCAGCCATCCCATTTTGTAGGAATCGGTTTTACATTAACGCCCAGATGTTGGTAAGGTTGAAAAAGCCAAGTTCACTGGTAGTTGAAGTGCTTCTCAAGGGCTGGTGTATCATTAAGATGGTGAAAACATAGCATGCAAGCAACTGACTCTTGCAAGATAGACTTCCCAGGTTCTCAAGGAAGGAGCGTGGGTTGAAGCTATTTTGTTTTTGTTTCAGGTCAGGGATCATCTGGTTCCAAAGTTTACAGTGGCATGAACATTACCATAGGTGATCTTGTGGTGGTGTGTGAATGGATTTTGTCGTCACTTCATGCAGGACCTCAGATGCGACGCACGCTTAGTATCACTGACAACCAGCAACAAGATCCACAAGCAAGGCTTATGAAACAGGTCTGGTTATTAATTCAATTACTTCAGGTTTTTATTCTGTGATTAATTAAAAGTTTAAAACACACAAATGACGCGGGAACCGGTTATACCACTGAATTTTTTTTGTTTTGTTGATTATTTTGCTGTTTGTATTGTTTATTTTGTTTTTTTTGCTTTTGTTTCGTGTTGTTCCATTTCCTACTAAAGGGTATTTTCTTCCAAAACAATTGTCACACGACGCAACAATACAGATTTCCAGCCAAATTAAAAAATAAATCTGATTTTTGTGTACTTTGTTTTCACTCTTAGGTATTCAGTATAGAGCAGGAGACTTTGTCCTTAATCAATCGCGTCAGTCATCCAAACTTGACACACTATTTAGCCGTTAATGTCCAGGAAGAATCTCCCACTGTCAAAGTCCAGGTATTTTT